AGCCTAGCACACTGATATAGTCAACAGGGGAAGGTTATATTTCTGAGCGCTCTGAAATCTGTGCGACGCTGGAGAAATGGATGAAGCCCTAATAAAGTCAGCACCAGATTCAAACGGCATCTGGAAAGAGCCTGCTAGCTTGATTGGAAAACTGGTAAGCCTGTGTTGGTTAATTTCAGAAATGCCTGTATGCATGAAAACACTTCATTCTACACCTGTTAATGTCAGTTTCTCAATATCAAGGCCATCAAATGGCGAGCTGCGCTAAAAGTTGTCGTCTTTTCAGGCTACTTTAAAATTTACATACAACAGGGCAGTAAAAACACCTATAAATTAAACTAAAGTATCTATAGTTAAAAAAAAAAACTGGTGATAAATTTCGGTTTTTTAAGAAAATTTAGTTGTAGAAAGTTTGATAAGAGTTTGAAAAGCTCCAAAGTAATTGTTAATTCTCAACTCAATTAGTGAATTTGTTTTCAAGTGTAGAAGATGGATTTAGAATACCGCCTGACATAAGAGTAATAAGATCATAGAGCTCCGATTTGCCTGTGAGTGTAACTCTGTTATGAATGACTGCTACAAGACAAAGATGCCGCAGATACTTTATCCAAAGTGTTTCTTGGAACTTCTGCGAGATATAGAAACACTTTCGATGAAGTGTATGGGGGCTGTCCTTCGTATAACTATGCAAAGAGCCAAACGCTACGCAGGCTGTCACACATGAAAACGCAAGGCAAACGTTTGCGAAAAAGAGATGAAGAATTTGTAATAGGATATCGATAAAGTCGATGATCAGGTAAAATCAAATGTACATATAACATTGGAAATCGATAAAAGTCGATAGAAATTGTTTTTTCTTGACTGTATTTTGATCATTAGCACATTCTTAGCAATTTCATTCAAATTCACAAGCCATAACAACTTTACACAGTATGCTGCTCCCGTGAAATGCACGCTTCAATAAACTCGACAGTCTAGCGCTTAAAATTGAAAAAAGGACCCATTGACGAGCAATGTAAAGAAAGAAAATGCAAATTCATGTGGCCCCCTGAGGGAAAGTTTAATCTCCTGTTCTTTTTCTTTAAATAAAACAACAAATCAGTGACACAGTCGCCTGCATTACCTGTGCCACTGACATCCTCTGTCTTATTTGGACTTCCTCTACGATCTCTCTACGATCTCAAAGTGGGAAATGATGGACGAGCGTGTGGGTGTCACAACAACAATTATTTTGTTCATAATAATTGCGCACAAAAATGCGATTAGTGGTTGATGTAACACCGAACTTTTATAAAAAATGTTTGGTCCAACAAAACCAAACAGGCAATCCAACTAGGCTACGCAAATCGTATAATCTATTCCAATATATTATTATTCGATCTAAAGAAAAGAACGAGATACATTTGAGAAATTGAACAGGATCCATCGATTCATAAACACACGAGTAAAACTATTAGATAGAATTACAGCACTGAGAACTTACTTCTATGACGATGTCTAGTAGGATTGTTTCACGGTGTATAGCTACGTACAGGTCAGCAACAGATGAAACAGGTCAGGGTATAACAGAACACGGGTCAGCAAGACAGGTTAGCAGAACTTGTACGTATCTTCGAATCTTAAGTATCTGAACTGAAAACTGAACTATTCACGTGGCTTAATTACATAAGCTAGTGTCAATCAAAATCAATCAGGAAAATCAAGTTAATAATTCATTATATTGACGAAACAATGTTGGTTTCCAAATGTAGCAGTCTTCTTCTCACTTTTATCTCCTTCCTTCTCAAATGCCAGGCGAGGTAGTATAGCGAAACAAAGAGCCTCCCACAGCCCAGCAGAGCCGTTTCCTTTGCCTTTGTATTTTGCGATCCCGTTTGCTAAGCAAAAGCTTTAGGGCGAAATATTTTGGAGGAGAGTTCAAATGCTAATTTTCAGAACAGCTCTGCACGTACCTGCTAATGGTGAGGTTTTGAGCTCGCACGCGGGGTCGCAAGCATTTTAAAACCCGCAGTGTAAAGTGACGGATTCTTTCAAAATGATTTCATTCTTTACTCTGTAGTTGTCATATTTTTTCAAAAGTGTCATTACAAATTAAACCAAAACCGATTTCAAGTCTTTCTATTCAAAATACCCAACTGTTTGGAAATCAATGGCCTTTGGGTAAAATTGAAACAAAAAATTTTAAAAGAGACAGGTCCATAATAGTGAAAGAGTGTCATTTGTTGCTAGTGACAACAAGAATAACAAAAAAGTTTCAGAGACTTCATCGAGTCCTTACCATTCCTCTCGCGGCCTCACCTTTTACGGACAAGTTGATTGTTCGCCCATCGTGCAAAGACCAAATCACTGGCAACGGATACCAAATATTTTGAGAAGAAAATTGTGAGAGAATGAATTCTTTTTTACAAACCCAGGTATGTTTCCAAGAGTAGATGCACTCATCTGTTGCGGCTGTATCAAGAGTCCAGTCTAAACCGCTCTAATGCATTCTAAAGGAAAGCTTTATTTCTGTTTCTGAACAAACAAACAAAAAGATGGCGATGTGAGGTAGAAAAAAAAACTTAACTTTACAAATTCTGTACTTACGTTTTACAGAAATTTCAAGCTCCGGAGCTTATCTGTCGCGTATAATGACTCTTGTTATTCAATTAGCTGTGTTGAATTGTGGACAGATTGAAATGTTGATACTTCAAGCTAGGTTCTTCCCATAAAACTTCTGTATGTCAATGTATGGATTTTTTTCCGTATGAGCTACGCTATGAGTAAAACATATCCAATAACAGATTTGAATAGAACGAAGGATATAGAGGAGCGACGCTTGGCAGCAAATTTTAATAAAAGTGAGTAAACTGATAAACAATCATTCTGCTATCATAATAATCGCCGGTTAAGTCTTAGTGTCTGAGAGAATTGTATTTTTCTTGCTTTACCATTTTCGTATACAAAGAGTATCATTTCAGGACAAATAAATTAAATGTAGACCAGCTTGATTTTCTCATAAAACAGCAACTCGTGTCTTGGTAGTATGACAGATGAGTTTTTGTAACAAATGTTTGGTAACGATGTCGGCCCCTCTTTAAACAAGAGAGAAATTTATTCAAAGCCATAATTTGGGAGGAAACTTTTTTTTAAAACTCTCATGCAGGAATCTATCCATTCTGCCCCAAAATCCAAAGTAGCAACACAAAAAACTGTAATATCTGGCTCTCTCTGCCAAAAAAATAAAAAAGGTATAAAAAAAGTATCTTATTTCAAAGCTGTCAGGTCTAAGCTGAATTTGCGTAATTAGCACTGGAAGGCCACCTGAATACACGGTAGGACATTAATAAAAATTTCGTTAATTCTGTATTACGCGTTGAATTTAAGAGCAAAATTCAATTTGACGTTTCATAAATCTCATTTACCAAAACGATAATTTCCAAAGGTTTTTGTATACTGTTGTGCGCCGAACTGTGAAGCGCGCTGCAAAAGAGCCATGCATTAATTGATATTGTGTTCACGATCATTTTCCTTGCATAGCATACTGCTCATGAGCCGTTACCATGGGATATAGGCGGCAAAAGGTTTCACTCGTGATGCAAGTTTGAGTGGACTGTGAAATCCAAAACATCCGTTCGTTTTGGAAAATCTAATGTAAGTTCATCTGTGAAACGCAGAGAAAATTTCACTCTTCACGTACTCCGCTCACAGTCTTTTTATTTATTTTTATTTATTTTTTGATTTTTTTAAATCAATGGTAAAAAAAGAAATGAAAACTATTTTAAACTCAAGAGCAAAAATCTGGAGGATCCGGGCATCGATCCCGGTACCTCCCGCATGCTAAGCGGGCGCTCTACCATTTGAGCTAATCCCCCATTTATATGGAAGCTTCCCTGATTTATAATCTGTGTTTTTAGTGCAGACACCTCTCTATCAGTAAAGAGAGTTTCCGCCGGGTGCTCCGACAAAATTATAATATATTTTTTTTTCTGATATGAAAATAATAATAATAATAGTATCAAACTTGATGTCATTCATTTCTTTCAAAAACCGATTCACGAAAGGTTTACAAAGGAATGCCACAGACTATTTGAAGGCTTGCAATTTTTAAGATATGCACCCAGGTTTTAAAAAAACTATACCATTGCTTTGTAGCTCTGGTTTTGTTCTTCTGTGAGACAGCGTCCTAATAAATCAAAATGTGCGCCTGTTTTTGTTACTATATATTTGAAAACTGTCTGTGGAATCGTATAAGTGACGTCATAGTCGTGACCTATGAGCAAAACAGACACCCCTCCAATACGGGCAATTTGCTCTGTTCCTTTACCCTCCTTGTTTGGAAGGTTTGACTGTATTTTGAAAGATTTCAAGCATGTTGTGTATATAACTGAAGAAAGTAGTGGGGTGGGATCATGATCACCTTTGCATAACTGATTTTCTTTCACCTACGGTTGTAATCGATATATGTGCAAACAAAAGTAAAACGTCACTTCCCTGGCTTACAAAGTCACCAAAAAACTTATAAATTGTCAAACAAAGAGGCCAATCGAACAAACTGAATGGCAATAAATGGAAAAGAAATTTATGTCATCAAAACTGAAGAAGCGTCATGTGTTTCGATATTTGAATGTCTCATTACGCAAGTGAATTTTTTCATTGTCTGCTTGACGCTTACATCATCGTTAGTTTAGAGTCACGAAGATAACTGGACTTTTACTAAAGAACGTTCCTCAGGGATATCCTGAGAACGTAAATACCTTAGATATGAGAATCTCAATCTCTATCAGGCCTTCATCTGGTATTCCGAATATATACAGTTATTTGTGATGCTATTTAAGTAGAAATGCTAATTGTTGCCTCTCCAAATATATTACATTAGAATCGATTTGCATATCAATAAACTATTGTAAACATACCCACGTCACCGTTGGTGAAGTAGCTTTAAGTTTGTTCGGTGGTGGGACACATGTCAATAAATTGATTGTTAAGCATGTTCTGAGTTAGGTGCAAACAAACTTTCGGAGCATCCGCAAAATGAAAGAAATAACTTTGTTCCCAAAGAAACGTTGTTACAAAATCAGTCTTTTCTTGGTGGTCGAGCGAAGCAGGTCGTAATAGTTCTACAATGGCTGCGTCTCCTGGAAGTATGTACCAAAAACAAGTTCTTAAAAAACGGCCAACGTCCTACCTACAGTCATCTTTAGGATCTTTGTCCAAATCAGACCGATATAAAGAGAAAGATATCCCTTTAAATTCAAATCCGCCAGGCAGCCCGGAGATACCGCGATCAAACATCAGCTTAAGGAAGTTCAGTCAAATTAGTGCGCATTCTGATGCTTCAGAGGCTGATGAAAACCACGCCGATACTAACGGTAACTCAATCAAACAAACAGGGACGCCAAAAAATGCCATTCGGGCAAAACATCACCAGGTAAGACATCTTACCTTACTCAAGCTTTGGAGTGAGAAAGTACATGAGTTTTTCGTCTGATGTCCATTGTTTAGCGATGTTTTGATGTGTTTAGAAAGACTAAGGTGATATTTACTTACATACTTGCATCGGTAAGTCGCTCCCTTCCTTCCTGGAAGTGTATCCAGCGATTTGACTGAAACTTATTGTCAATTTAAAAATCTGGATTTACAAAACTGTGTGATATTTCTCGAAGTTTCGCACAACTCTTAGATAAACATCGCTGTGAAGAAGCCTTGAGGTTTGATACTATATTTTAGCCATTCAAAACAGAAAGCTTAACAGATTAGGCCACCGGAACTTTAATCAAACCGAGCGTAATTATTACTGACGTACGATATCAAAATTTCATAACTTTTAATGAGAAACTAACTCTCGAACGAGTTTATTTGTGGCACAACCTGTGCTTATGCATCTGAAGTACATTGTTTGCATGTAGTCGCTTAAATTTACGGGTACAGCAGCGCAACAAACTGTACAAGATACGTCAGAATACAGCGAGTGTGCACGTATTGGCCCTCCAGTTGTGCGATACATAACCAATACTCATATGGACTATTCATCTTATAGAAAGCTGGTGAGATTTGTACTTATTTTTGAAAATCTACCTTTAGGAGTCTTTTGACGGTACTACGTATTTAGGTAACAGCGTAGCTACAAACCGGTAATCATTATGATTACGCATGATTCGGGCTAAAGAATTGGAGGCCGATTATACTTTTGTTCGCTACAAATAAAGGTATTTGTATCCGAGAGGAGGTACGAAATTTTAGACAAAATGTCAATTAACACATGCTTCATAGGAGTCCTTCTTGCCTCGAGCATTGTAAGCAACTTTTCAAAGTCCCATTACCGAACGTTTTCGCATGAGCTTAATCCATAATATTTGGTCTGAGATTAAAGTTAGCAAGAAAATTAACTTAATTTTCTAACCAAAAGTCATTTTTTCAATCAATGCTGCCAATTAAGTGGATTGAGTGCGAAACATGGTGTGAATAATATTCAACTTGAACAGTGTAAACAGTGTAAACACTCCAAAACTTAGGAATCAAGGTTACTTCCCACCTTCAGAGGCCGAAAAATCGTTTTTTCTTTAATTTGACTAAAATGACTTCAAACATTTTGCCTAACGTTTCCAAGAAAACATGTTCTAAAATTTCCAAGAGTACCCGAGTTATTAAGAAAAACGTAATTTCAAATAAAAGATAAAAACGTGAATATGAAAGCGATCTTCGCAGTAATGAACATTACTTAAGTAGTAGTGACAAGAAGGCTTGAAAACATTCAGGCCCGTACGGGATTTGAACCCATGACCTTTGGGATACCGGTGTAGTGCTCTACCAACTGAGCTAACAAGCCAACTGTGTTGGTTCCAAATAAACCCGTGAAGTGGTAAATAAACGGTTGTGAATATATGGAAGTCATATATATGAACTGCGGTTAAAGACTTGAATATGAAAGCGATCTTTCAGCACTGCACCGGTATCGCAGAGGTCATTGATTCAAATCCCGTACAGGCCTTCTTTTCACTACTACTTAAGTAATGTTCATTACTGTGAAGATCGCTTTCATATTCACGTCTTTAACCACAGTTCAAATATATGACTTTCATATATTCACAACCGTTTAAAAGATAATAAATTAGGAAGGTGTCACAATCTCGTAACTGAGATGGGGGAATTTTCGCGGCAGGCGGTCATCTTCAGGGCTCGTTGGTCATGTTATTTGCATATTTTGTTTACATCGCGCAATTGACAAAATTCAGACGTGGAAGCTCTTTGCTTATGGAAAAATTTTTGCTCATGGAAAAAACAAAAGCAGAAGAAAGACCTTGGTATAAAAAGAGGAAAAAAAAAAAAAGGCCCTAAGACGAAAGATTTCGAACAAAGTCGCGTCAAACCAAAATTTGTCATACATAGAGCAAAATGAGGTTTCCTTTTACTTATGCAAGTACCAGCCTTGACACATGAACTTTAACAATTGCCTCGAAATGTTATTTTGAAAGCCGTCTGTCGATTCTTTTTCTTGCTTCTCAGCACATTTTGAGGTTTTTCCATTTTTGCCACGGGTTTTTCCTATGGCGTTGGCAACTTTGCCCATTATTGTGTCGTCCTCCTCAACGCTCTACAGAACGATCGAGATGAAAAAACGTGTCCGCCAAGGATCACTTTTCCCGGGAAATCTTGGTCCATCGTTATTGACGCCAGGAGGTCCCGTTGTCCCATTGGTTTGCGGTTTCGGGAGGCGAGATAATCTCCGAGCGTGGTGCGAGTTGTTTACGAACCTTTATGAGCTAAAAAGTGCTAATGATGAGATAATGAGCAATGAATAAGACTGTGCAGCCATTTTGCTTGGGCTGCTGCATCCGATACCCGGTAAATTCAATAAAAGAACCCTCGGTCGTTTCACGCCTTACCGGCTCCTGACACTTCCTAAGAGGAAAGGATATCAAGGATATGTCGTGAAAATCATAGATGGTTAAACAAAGTCATTTCTTGGGGTTACTTATGATAAACCTTTAGTATCGCCAGCTTTAGCAAGTTTTTTCGAGATCTTAATATATTGGCAATATAAAAATGCTGTGAATGAAGTTTGATTATTACTAAAGTATAACTAGCAAACACACAGAGCTACTTGGTATTCTGATTGTGACAGAAAAGTAAGGATGTGAGATGTGACTTGTCTCTTGTCAGTTTAACTACTCTTACCATATCTCTTACAGGTAGGTTGAGACTTTTAACCGGGAAGACTGTGTCGTCACCTTCTAAATTTGATTGGCTCATTTGTTTACCATATGTAAATAAGAGCTATGTATCCTGTATTCTTTGCTGGCCCTCTGTTATTCAAGTGCTATACTTTACTAGTTCTTGATGTTTGTGCTTTATTTTTTCCCTATGACAGAAAGCAGGCAAAGGTAACAAAATACAGAAACTGCATCATGCAGCTTTGTCTGGAAACGAGGCAGAAGTGCAAAAATTGCTTGGAAAAGGAGTTGGTGAGTGTGGAGTAAAACTCTAAAAATCATTTAGACCATTTATGCAAATATTCCTTCATATCTAAGAATTAAAAATGGCTCACAATCAGTACTGTATATATTTAGAGTCCCATTTCGAACTACTTTCAAACGGATCATCACATAACTCTCTGTCGTATCTGTTTTAATATAATCACAAACATAGCTGACTGCCATTGTTTGAATTGGTGATTTAGAACGTAATATTTTAAATTTTGAGTTGTGTTAGAAAATTAAGTAAATGTAATTACTGCAAGTAATGTAAAAAAAAAAGGGAGGAAAAAAATCCTCGTTTCAAAGGAGCTTTTCTGAAAATTAAAATGAATGTCCCTTATTAGGATTGGACTCCGGAAGTGACATGCGCGCAGGGTACGCGTACTCCTTACATTAAGTCTTTTCTAGCTTTCTTGAAACACTCGTGCACAAAAGTCCGTTTTAGTTGTATTTTTGAAAATTGCATTCAAGTTCCAGCGCATGTAAATTAGTCTGATGGTTTTCATTCAATTTTACTTATTATCATTTTACACTTGTAGGGTGTGTACGTGTCGGCACGTTCTTAGGCTGAATCAGGGCTGGCACTGATGATCTTTTTACACCTTTCACTTAGTTAATTCATTTCAATATACTTATTCATTGAGGTAACTATAAGATGTATCTTTGCATTTGTTTCCCCTAGACATAAATGCTCCGGATTCAGTTGGCAAAACCCCGTTGCATAATGCCATTCTTGGGAAACATTTCAACATCGTAGACCTGCTGTTGAAATCAGGGGCTGATGTCAAGTGTCTTGATGAGCGGGGAGACACGCCTCTCCACGCTGCTGTCAGAGTTGATAGCGAGGCAATTGTTGTGGTGAGAAAATATAATGTTTGTTCTTGTTATAATGATACTTTCCTACTTTTCACTTGGTAGAACTATAGTTGACCTCATTGCTGCCTCTTGAGCAGAAAATAAACTCTCGATCTTTCCTAATAAGACTATATTGATCTTGATCAATCCTTATCAGGAGATTAAGGGATGGTGTCCATCTGTACATGTTAGGTGCACCTAATGGTAGCGAGAACCGCATTCCATTATGATTGTATTAAGTCTTATCAATGATGTCGTCTATTCTTAATATCCCTAGCTATTGTTAAAAGACGGTAAAACCAACACTAATGCGAAAGGATTCGGGTCTTACACACCTCTTCACATTGCTGCTCAAATGGACTGCGTCGACATTTGCAAGCGATTGGTAAGAAACTGTGTGTTTTATTTCAATCTTACATGTTTAATCTAGGAATTTTTGAGAAAAGACATTGAACATTACATGACAAGGTATTAGTGACTAAGCCTCCGATTTTGTATGTACGCCCAGCAGGATAACTGGTTAGGGAAGCTCTTACTATCAGTAAGATGGCTGGTAAGGGATAATTCGATCGAGACGTTATGCAATTAAGCGTCGATAATACAGTTAACAGTTAACAGTAACATAATGCACAAACATAGCTATAAATCTATTGATGCAAGTGGATAATTGTTCTCTCCGAGAATGTTACTCTGGCTCAAAAGATGGTAGTCGAACAGCATTTGACTCCACGAAACTGTAGAGATTCATTTCTCACTTTTTACAAAATTCTCTATTTTTAGGTTGAGCACGAAGGCGACATCGCTCAAGCAGCTGAAGACAAAATGACTCCCTTCGGTTTCGCAATAGCTAAGGGAGCACAGGCTGTGTCTGAATATTTTGCTGGAATTGGTAATTCATTTCATTTTATGCTGTATCTTGGTTACTATAACATGCTTCCGTGGGAAAGTATAAGTTAACCGGTAAACTCATCAGTGACATAAAGGATAGTTCTTTTCGAGTTAAGAATGTCTGGCAAAGAAGAAACTCTTGGTTCTTTAGTTCTCTTTAATGACGCCACTAACCAGTTAAACCGAGATACTTGTTACAGTACCTTGCATGTTCACCTACAACATTGTCCACGCGTATTCCCCTCCCCGGTCCCCCCCAGGGGAAGAAAGTCGAGACCCCGTATCAAGACATGTCTACTGACGCGGCCGGTATGATTACTTGTGCTTTGATGTCGTACCACTATAATTTTCTATTGTGTATCCTGCTCCTTCTTTATTTTGAACCATATAAACCATAAAAAAAATGCTTCATAACATTTCCTGACTGTGGTGTTTCGCTTTAATTTTCAGTCAAGGAGAAAGGCATGAATTTAGAGAGTCTCCTCTACAACGTTGATAATGAAGGTAGCACCTTACTCCATCTTGCAGTGGACAGCGGGATTCTCCCGGTGAGACACGTTTCTCATTTGAAAACCATTTTTATCACTGCGAAAATAGTCAAAGGCATATTTGAAACACATGAAATAGACTACTTCACCTCCCATAATTTTGATGAAGGAATAGGATGGGATATTTATATCCGCAGCGATAAATATAGTTTAACCTCTGAGGAAATAAATGCTCTCATGCAAAAAAAAAAATAAAATAACCAAACGAAAGCTTGCACATATTCCTGAGCTTTAAAGGAGCCGTGTCTTTTTTTCATCTTGTGTATCCAATTTGATTCCTTTCGGCGAAATAAACCTCTTCTTTCTTCTTCAGATTGTAGGGTTGTGTTTAAAGCTTGGATCAAATGTGCGCCAAACAAAGGTAACAAATTTGTACTCTTTGAATTCACATTGCAATCCTGGAGAAAAAAATATCTGTGCCCTAAGGTCTGAGTTGAATATCTTAGAACAAAATCAACTCTGATGAAATTAAGAGCTCCTCGCAGCTAAGAACACTACTGAAACGAGTAGTTGAAAATAGGACCTGAAAAAAATTCAGGCCCGTACGGAATTTGAACCCATGACCTCTGCGATACCGGTGCAGCGCTCTACCAACTGAGCTCGCAAGCCAACTGGGAGCTGGTCAATGTGTTGGGTCCAAATAAACCATCCAGGTGATGAATGATGATTTTAGATATATGAAATTCATATATTTGTACTGCGGTGAAGAGATGAAATTAAGAGATCCTCGCAGCTAAGAACACTACTGAAACGAGTAGTTGAAAATAGGACCTGAATGAATGTATGGAAGTCATATATTTGAACTGCGGTTAAAGACGTGAATATGAAAGCGATCTTCGCAGTAATGAACACTACTTAAGTAGTAGTGAAAAAAAGGCCTGAAAAAAAAAAAAGAAAAATTTAGGCCCGTACGGGATTTGAACCCATAACCTCTGCAATACCGGAGCAGCGCTCTACCAACTGAGCTAACAAGCCAACTGTTTTTTTTTTCAACTACTCGTTTCAGTAGTGTTCTTAGCTGCGAGGATCTCTTAATTTCATCTCTTCACCGCAGTGCAAATATATGAATTTCATATATCTAAAATCAACTCTTTTGTAAATTGATAATTCCTCGTAAATTACCTTCTTCTGAGTCATGTTACACCTTCTTCTGATTATCTTAGCAAGTTATTGGTATTTCAAAAAATTTTTCGATAAAATGTCACATTTTACCCCATAACAGGAATCAGATAACAGCACTGCTTTACATCTAGCATGCTCACAAGGCTCTCTTGAGATCGTTCAACTGCTGACCAATGAGATCCGCGACATCTGCAAAGAAGAGATCATCGATGAACAAGGCATGTTTCCCATTCACCGAGCAGCAATGAACAATCACTTCACAGTGGTAAACTTTTTATTGGATCAGGTGAGGGATTTCTTTTCATTATAATCAATAGAATCTAAATACTATTAGAAAAAGCTATTCCAGGAGATGCTCTTTTTCCTTCTGTTGTTTCCTTCCCTTCTTCTTGGAATTCTAAAGAGTATTTAATAAAAGCTGGCTCTTTTCTAACCTTTGCTCAAAACGCATTGATTGGGACAGTGAGGATGATAAGGCACTGTGCTGATTTTTCATTCCTTTCGTTATATTTGCAGTGTGAAAAAAAGGCTTAATACCGTTTTCATTGTATAACTATTCCTTATTTTGAAATTCTTGGTTCTCTATGACATTGCGTTTCCTTCAGGAGGAGCCGATTGAAGCCATAATAAAAAATATCGACAGGATACACACTTGGGTCATTCTGAGTCCTTCCTATTTATTATTCATTATTTTTTTTTACTCAGGGCGCCGAAGCTGACCCCAGAGACATTGAAGGGCAAACTCCTCTTTTCTTAGCCGCTTCAGTGGGTGGAACAGAGACTGTTCAGCTCCTTATGGATCGGGGAGCCGATATAACACTCAAAGATATGGAGCTACGCTCGGCTCTGCATGTAGCTATTGGGAACACAAGTACCATGGATGCCTTAATGAAGGTACCTACGTCACAACATTATTAGTTCAATTTGTTTTTCATTAATCAATATTCCTTAACATTACTAGATAAATTACGTATGAATTAATTTTTTGCCATTACAAATACACTTTGAAGAAATATATCCAAGCCTCCGTTTCTCATGTGCACAATTCTTTTCGAGCTAAAAATTGAAGTTGGTTGGGGGAAATCTCACTTCATTTGTGTTCAACGTTCCAGGTTCATGAACACAGTTCCCGAAGACAGTCAGTTGCCTTCTTTATCGTAATTGATTCTGGTATATTTATAAAACCAATCAAAATAATGAAGTATAGTCAAAGTTTTTCGCCATGTCCAAACTATGTCCTTGCACTGACACGAAAGACACTGAAAACCTTAGCACTTTGGTAGGTTACTCGTAACTTACGTACATTATCCTCCCAATTGATTCTAGAGTCCCTCATCCAAGTCATTAGTGGTTGACAAAGATGCGACTGGATATACTCCGGTACATTATGCAGCACGAGCTGGATGTCTTGAGGTACTGCGATCAAAATCAGCCTGTCTCTCTTCTAATTTTGGATTACAAATAAGTAAAAAAGGTCGTTTTTCATGGAACGTGATGCCGTCGATATTGTTGGAACGAAACATTGCAGCAACAGCCGGACTTTTAGTGGAAACTAGTGTGTGGGAGATGAACTCTTTCTGATGCGAATCAAGTTTCTCTTTTACCTCAGTGCAAACGAATGATCCTCATCACTAAAGATTCTCGAGTAGTACTGGAAAGTGTAAAAACACCGACTCCTTATTTTTGTTTACTGATTTTTGTTTTATGTCTAAAGCACATCATACTCTTCATCAGCAAGAACAAAGCTGCTGAACAAGTCACATCAGATTCACTGGATACGCCTCTCCATATCGTCTCCCGGTATGCTATGCAGAGCTATGGCATTTCTTTTTGATACTTCAAATGATGACGTACTCTAGGCAACTAAATGTTTTCATTGTGAACTTTACACACTTCTTGACTTTTTGAAGGTATGGCTGGCTCGAGATTGCTCAAAGGCTACTGAAAAAACGAAATGTGAGAATCATAAATGTACAGAATGACCAAGGAAAAACACCCCTGCATTTGGCGTGTCACGAGGGCCATGAAAAAATAGCTAAACTTCTCTTGATGGAAGGTGCAACAATTGAAAGGTAAACTGAAAGAGCACTATTTGTTACTTTTCTCCTTAACTAGTATCATATCAACTACTTGAATAGTAAATAGAGTTTTAATCGAGTGGACTAAAGCTTTTGATAGGCGGCCAGTACTGATGATCTGTTGATCAGTCAATCTGCGATTAAGTGGTCAATATTACGCGAGAGTGTTAAGAAGTAAGCGAAAAAGTCGACAGGATACTTTTTCGGTCCCGGATCAATTTCGACTCACGTAAGGGACTAAGAAAGAAAGATGGAATGTGCTCTGCCAAATTTAATGGTCGCCACTTTTATTAGGGATCATCATGACCGAACACCACTTCACCTGGCAGCAGCAAAGGGCTCAGAGGAGTGCGTCGAGTACATACTGGAAACGCACCCAGGAAGTTTAAACGCCATTGACAAATATCAGGTATTCACTTCATATTAAACTTACATTTATCAGACCAAAGGTTAGTAGTCGAAGCTGTGGACTGCTGTAGTATTTTACTGCTAAGTAGAAAATTCGAATGGAAATAGGCGCGTTACTTTATCGTGCATCCGTGGTATGCGATACTTGAAACCATTTTCAACGTTTTAAGAAATTCGCGTGTGTTTTCTCCTAATAAATTGTTTTATACAAACATTTTGACATACACACCGAGCCTTTAACGTGTATATTGCACTTTTAACTTATTCATGCATTAGATATTGACTACTAAGGGTTGCTTCTGATGTTTGAAGTAAAAAAAAACAAATGGCTTATATGCTACCTCCCCTCTTAGCTGTTAACATTCATTGACTTAATGAGTAACGAGTTAACTCATTTATTGACACAGAACACGGCTCTCAATCTGGCAGCGACCGCTGGCCATGCGTCACTAGTAATTTACCTGCTCTCTGTTAAAGAACAAGAGATCCTGTTAAACTCGCAAAATCAAAACGTTCTTGACCTTGCCATCTCGAACGACAAAGAAGCGGTTGCTATGGCAATCATTGAACATCCCAGGTAAGCAATCGCCCAGGTAGGACGGATTTTCTCTGCTTTTTATTTTTACTGTGCTTGTACGTATTGGGTTGCAAATCAGTGATCTGTCAGGAGGATTAGAATGTCTCAGATTGGCAATAAAGCTTTCCGCGATGACTTTTCACTCTTGACGTATAGCTGGTGATTTTACAATTCGCCAGAGATACGTTTTGGCGGGGTAGCCATGACAAGTGATGCGCACGAAGCCACAGAATGAACCATGCTGTCACATATACAGTTGTTGTCGTTTGTTTGTTTGTTTGTTTTTTTTGGGGGGGGGGGCTTAAAAAGTTGTCTCAAGGCAGAGGTAATGGCAACCGAGAAACAATCACTGGAAAAAAGAAATTCAACACTAATTTGCCACTAATTTGCAGAAGGAGTTGCAGCCCTTCCAGCCCGAATATTTCATGGCCGCTTTGGCTGATGCTCTTACTTACATTATGCTGATCGGTTTCGTTATTTGCATTTCTTGTGAGAGATTGTTATTACCAAGTCATTTGATTTCTTTCATCCACTTGTTAATACACAGATGGAAGGAGGTAATGGATTCAGCTGTGGGAGGAGGAGTGTCTCAGATTCAGACTTTGGTAGAGAAGATGCCGGAGGTGGCAGAAGTAAGTGATATGCAGAATTTCACGCTCTATGTGAATAACTGAATTCCCAGCTTTTTGTGTCTCTAGCCCAGTATATAACAGTCTATTCAATGAATAAACTATGTACATGAAACAAGGCCAAACAAAGAGATAAAAGAGAAAAAAAATTTGATTCTTCATCTTAACGGTTTTTCGCAAAACCTTCTAGAAGTAACTGATCTGGTAGAAATGTAAATATAAGTATATTTACATTTCTACCAGATCGTACCACAGTCATCTTGTTTGACCAATTTCTCATTTTCATTGCAGTCCTGGTTAATCTGCAATACCTTTTAGATAACCTAACATAATTCTCTTCGTTTGATTCGTTTCTGTTTTCTAGCGTGTTCTTGATCAATGTGTCGACCAAGAGGGTGACCCGAGCAGTAAAGATTTCAAAGTAAGCTGCCTTTTCATTTTTATTAGTAGTGCGCTCTAATTTCTAAAGACACATGGCTGTAATGTGCTTCAGGGTTTATCAACCTTGCCTTATTAGCCCTAAATTATTTTGTTCAACATTTGTATCTCCTGTTGCTCTTCCCCTTACGTCATATTCGTTTTCTGGCTTCTCCTTGCTCAGTTGGTTAAAATCTTTAATACTATCATCCTATTATTGTTAAAACTTTTATCATGAATCTCTTAAGAAAAGAATTCTAATAATGTGGATCTGAAGACAATTTCCTTTGATGCCTTACGACGTCTATTTTAGATTTTCGGTTGATCACGGCCATAAGACTTTTGGTATTAAAGACCAAACATAACAAAATCAGGAAGAGGAGAAGTAATTACAAGATAAGAATGGTGAGGAGGAAGAATGTAGGCAAAAAAATAAGTTTATGGACGTTAGAGGTCAAAGTCCACCCGTAATATCAATCTCTTGCATATTTGTAACAGAGCATACGGGGGTCTATTTGTAATTTCACTTTTATCCATTCGTTATTCTATGCGTTTATTCATTCACCATTCACACCGTTTCAGTTTTATTTTATTCAACGATTTGTGCAAATATCTACTCAGGTAACATATGATCTGCGGCTGATTCAAGGAAAGCAAAACAGTTTTACAAGTTCGTTAGAGCATTCATTAGATGCCCTAAAGGTGAAGATTTGAGTAAAGTCTTGTTAATTACCACTAAACATGTTGTTTCTAGGAAGGAAGAATTACCTTTCTTGTACAAATGTACGCCAATTAACAAGGTACATTCTGATAATCTGGATGGTCGTAAGTCAAGCATGTAAGCTACGGATTAGAAAACTTTATCAATCGTCAAGATTGTTAAACCTCAAGTCGCATTTATCTCATAAATAGTTACAAGTGGAGTTAGGTTTGAATCCAACTCAGAGCTCCTGCGAGGTCTTATAACTCCCTACACTCACTTAACTACGTACATTCCAGAGCTTTTTTTAAGAGAAAATGTTACAACAGAGCTCAAAACAATTTTAACATCAAATGAGTAATATTTCTCTCTCTTCCTGAATGTAGACTATGGCAGAAAGACGGCGAGAGAATTGCTTGACTCATCCAGTATGCTATGTGCTTATGAACATCAAATGGTAAATAACAGGATACTTTAATTACTCCAACTAACACTGAATGTAATAATTGTGTTAATAACATCCTCAGGAGACCAACCTTGGGATGTTAGTACTAATGGCCTAAGACTAAGTGAATACGTATATAAGTTATCAGTAAAAATTAAAGAAATGAGAAAAAGTTAGTGAAAGTCAGCTAACAATAAAAGCTGTCCTGTCTCTCTTTCAGTTGTCTCTTTAAACTAGAATAAACATCCACTAAACTAGTAACCACTAATTGGCAGGCAATAACATGGGTCCTGAGGGTTGCCTGCTTATGACAATTATGTTTAACTGTACACAGTTATGAGCAGTTTGTTTTGAAAAATTTTGACCCCATAGGAAGAAATTTGGTTGGATCACATTCATCGTAAATCTGTCTTTGTACCTGGCCTTTCTTTTGCCATTTACTGCACTCGCAGTTTATCTCAAGGCCAACAGCCTTGAATTGTGTGGCTATAAATTTGAAAATATGACAAAACATCGCACAGGCTACTACGAACATACTTGGGTAAGTAACTCGTTATTTAAATGCTGATGCTATGTAAAAGAGTGAGTGCCACAGCTCTTTGTCTCATCAGCTCAGTTCCGCCAACCAATATTCAATATGAGCTTTATATCACAAAAGGAAAAAATTACTGAAGTTGTTTTTTTGCATTTTATGTAAACGCTCAATAAGAATGTTCTTTCGTCGTACCCGTCTTAAATTTGAGTGTTTGAGATTAACCCGAGGTAAGCTCTTATTTAGGACTTTTTCAAGTAGAAACCGCAGCCCTTTTGCTTATTATTACATACGCATGTACATAATCAAAGATATACAACCTTACCTTTTCCAGACGGAATTTGCCAGACGTTCATTTTCCTCGCCGACTTTAAAGCGATCTATGACGTATAATTTGTAAATCATGTAATATCATTTTCCTCTTTTCACCAGGACTGGCACGATGACGACAGCATCACATGCAATGGTTCTCAAAAGGTAATAAGGGACGATATTGAGGTGTTGTACTCACGTTTTAAATCAACCTATTGATAGAGAAATATACAATTAGACCCAGGAAAGCAGCATAAACGTATTAAGGTATCGGTGTTTCGTCCACTTCTGCGTGGTTATGCAATACCACGTGTCCTGCAGTCTATACTGAGTGTATATTAGGCAAGAGGCTAAGAAAAACGGAGGCCTCAATATTTAATTACTGAATCCATTTTAAAGGTGAATTGCTTTTTGTATTTATTTTTATGACTTTTAGACTGTTGTGGTTCTCCATTATGTTGTGATCGTGTTCGCCCTCATTCATCTCACAAAGGAAATTGTGCAAATCATGAGACAGGTTAGTATGGCACCCAATCTGATATGAGAGTGGGTAATTTAGTACAAAGAGAGGATGACAAAAATCTAACTAAGCATGCAATCAGGTGTTTAATATTAAACCAAAAAAGACCTGTCAGGAGTGGGATTCGAACCCACGCCTACAAATGTAGACTGCGACCTGAACGCAGCGCCTTAGACCACTCGGCCATCCTGACCGTCTGAGTTCTTAAGAACGTGAGCATGGTTACCTCAATAAAAGTTGAAAGAAACCTATGACAACGCTGACTTCTTCTGCAGACTACTTCTAAGCTCATTCAACTAATTTCTTCTTGTGTTCCCGTCACCATATTTATACCAATAGTGTAGCTCCATTTTCTGCATTACCCTTTTGTTCTCTCCCACCGACGTAGTACCACAGTTTTCTCTAGAAACTTACCCCCTATAATCTAATATAAGACTGTTGAGTAATGCTTGGCTGTCAACTATGATTTCTCACAAGAGCAACTTTTCGACTAAGTATCCAAATATATAATACAAACATTTTGTGTCTTTCAATAAACTTTAGGTCACATTTTACAACTGTTTTCTAATAAGCCTAAAACGGGGGTCGATAAACTTATTTCTGATTACTAAGCCACTTATTTGTTTTTATTACAGCGCCTTAAGTATTGGACTGCCATCACAAACTACATCGAGTGGGTGATTTACGTGTCTGCACTTGTTTTCGTGTTTCCGATCTGCGCCTGCAAAGCACATTATAAATCTGAGGCAGCAGCATTCTCCTTGTTTTTTGCTTGGCTCAATCTTGTTCTTTACTTCAGAAGGTGAGACGCAAAGCTGTTACCACAGCCAGATTCAAAAGTGTAGTACGTGTAGCTAAAATTTTAGTAGTTCGTATAGTGTGATCGTCCGGGTGAGTGTAGTTCTGAAAAGAACTGTTGTTGGTGACTGACGTTTCGACAACCTGTGCGGAAGTCATCTTCAGAGTCAAGTAGAGAGTAGTTGTCAGTCGATGATGTTATAAAGTCTGGTCGTAAAGTAGTAATAGGCTTGTGAGCTACGCGAATGTTGTAAGGTTGTAGGATCCGCGCGATAGCCTCAGAAGTGCCTTTGATTTAGGGTATAGTAGCTGTAGTCGTGACAGATGTGGAGTCCCTGTTAGTTTCTGTAGTGTCGGTCGCCCTGTGAGTGTTTCGTCTAATGAAGTCAGTGTTGTAGTTGTTTTTGTCTTTTTCTTCAGATAAACTGTCCGGTGTGTTGCAAACAAGTTGCGCTCGTCTTGTTAATGTCTTGATACTCGTAGCTTTGTGGGAAGTCGGGTTGTAGGATGATTCGTCAAGCAGTCTGTCGGTATGCGTCGGTTTTCGGTATACTGTTGTTCGTAGTTCGTTGTTGTTTCGGCTTACCAAACAGTCGAGAAAAGGAAGCTTGCCGTCTTCTTCGATCTCCCTGGTAAACTGAATGTCGGTGTTTTGTTCGTTAAGGTGATTGTGAAAAGCGTCAATTTCGTCTTTGTGTACGGCGGTTAATGTGTCGTCAACGTAGCGTAACGAAAGCGGTATGGTTTGTCGGCAAGTTGCAAGGGCGCGTTCCTCGATGTTTTGCATCACAATTTCTGCGACAACAACGGAGACCGGCGACCCCATAGCTGTTCCGTGCAACTACTTATAATACTTTGAAAGCTCTTCTATTTTTCAGCTGCAATGCCTAATGTTTATCGATAAAATGTATATGAATTTCTAAAATACGATTACAGAAGCAGCTCTAAATTAGTTGTCTGCAGAAGAGGTCAGCGTTGTTGTCATGGTTCCTTTTAACTTTTATTGACTTACGTACCTGGCCGACGTACCTGAATACTTAGCATCCAGGCGGTCAGGATGGCCGAGTGGTCTAAGGCGCTGCGTTCAGGTCGCAGTCTACACTTGTAGGCGTGGGTTCGAATCCCACTCCTGACAATGCAATACCCCTTTTGTCATCTCCACCTTGTACAGATGAGTTAGAATAAAATTTGTGTCGATTCCAAATTTCCTGCAACGAAACCATTTTATAATATCAATTTCAGGAGCTGATAAAATTAAATGTTTTACTTCGTTCCTCAACTGTGCAGTATAACATTTTTACCCAATTAATCGCTTGTTTCGAGGGTAGCTTACCAAATTTAGGGAACGAACACAACTACTGATGAAATAATTTAGAGAGGTGTTAGAGTGGGTAGCCTGTGCTTATGTTACGGCTGCTTAATACCGAAGTCCTTTTTGCAGTCATGTGTCTGATCAGATAAATAGATAAACAAACTTGTATTTTTTTGCGATGACGGAGTCGATGAATATAATCATGATATAAGGGAATAGATTTCATTTTCCCGCAAATTCTTTGCGCTTGATTAAAAAGAATGCAAATTTAATTGATATTTTCGTTTATTTCCTCAGGTTGTCGTATTATGGAAAGTATGTAATCATGCTGCTCACGATGTTTAAAACACTTTTCCAGGTCTGGTTTAACTGTTACTTTTGTATTTTTATCAAAATAGCTTTCGTGACTTTAATGTAGTTAGTCTCAAAGTAATGGACCAATGATCGGATTTTATGGAGCAAACGTTAGAAACTCTTTCCTTTTTACTCTATGTAGGTCTTGCTTCTTTTCTTTCTGTTTGTGGTAGCTTTTGGGACAACGTTTTACCTGCTCATGTATAACAAGGTAGGGGCTTTGAAGGTATAAACGTATTGCTTTCTTGGCGTTTAGCGTTTTTAGCTAAACGTGGGTTCATTTCTAAATGCATGGTCAATTACACTTGGGCGAACTGAGTCAGAGAAGAGCCATTCGGGGAGAAAAATAGAATCGAGTGAATTTAACCAAGTCGATTAAATAAGATTTAAGTAGAGGCAATAAATTTTTTTTTGTATCGTAATGAATGCAAGAGGAAAATTTGGGGTACAGGAGTTTTCTAAGTCTCCCATACGCCCATATACGTTCAAATGAAGGCACAAATTGATCCTCCTACCTTATCATTACAGCTTACATGAAAATAGATTAAAGTTAGATGAAACCTGCTAACGAACAATGTTCTTAGGAAGAACAGAGTACATTTATGAATATCTAAGGATTACTGATCTGGATGGTCTACAATAGATATGGTAATTTGGACTAAACCTTGTTAATTCTTGTTTCATTTTACTACGTTCAGTCTAACTTTGACACATTGGAATACGCTTTGATGAAAACCTTTGCGATGACTTTGGGAGAGTTGAACTACGAATCAGACTTCATACCCGACATAAAACTGCATTATCCTCTGGCTTCTAATGTCATGTTCGTGTTTTTCTCCCTGGCGATGCCCATCATACTCATGAACATGCTGGTATGTTTTGATTCTTCAGCTTTATAGAGGGGGATAAAAGTCCTGTCTTTTTCACTAGTGAGAAATTTCAGTGCCTTTAACAAGGTGAAAAAAATTAAAGGTTGTTTCGCCCCAAATACGCGAGATATAGACGGGTGAAGAACCAACCAGTACCTATAATTCTATAGAGACACTTTTACTTACCTTGGTAATTTAAACTAATAATTATAATTATATGATTTTCCTTCTTTTATATCAGATCGGTTTAGCTGTTGGGGATATTGACAAGATTCAACAAAAGTCTGTTATGGATCGTTATGTGATGCAGGTAGACCAAAGCACGTGTTTAGTCCATATTTTGTAGCGGTTATATTCCCTTGTAAATGAAGTTGCGCCGGCTGCCAAAAACAGAACTAGGGATTGAAGGAAGTATTTAGTAACGAGACTGAGAGACAGAAAACCTGCCAGAGGCAATACCACCATTAATTATAAGTATTACAATTTCCTCAAATGTAGTGCATTAGATGCTATTTTTTAACTGAGTCCACTCGGCTAAATCTGCCAATCACAGACTACAATAAACATACCAATAACCATACAAAACTGAGGAATTTTCACCGAAAATGGAGGAATTTCATAATGTAGAAAATGTCTATATATTTTCTAAAATAAATGTATTTGTTATTTTTTGGAAATTGTAATGGCTATGATTAATTGATAACAAGACTTCATGTAATCCAGTTCGGTCTGTAATCATGCTCGTGATTGACAAATAACTCGTACAATCACAGACCGAATTGAGGTATGCCACTATGAATTTTTATTTAGAAATAATGCGCACATGTTAAAACTGCTCTCTAAAGGAGCCAGAAACATTCTGCTCTTTTTTATTTTAATTTCTTTTTGTTTTAATTTCTTTTTGTTTTAATTTCTTTTTGTTTTAATTTCTTTTTGTTTTTATCGAGAGAAAGTAATAAATTTTAAAGAAGCAAAGATGTTTAAAATTATTACCAAGGTCAACTGAACTGCACTCGGCGAACTTACAAATTCAGGCAAGATATTTCAACACGGATTCTTACTGCGACGTACATGACTCCAACGAAAAATATGTGTTTCTGCCGTGAAAAGTATGTGAAGCGTCAAATTCATTAATTTTACAGGTTGAATTGCTTCTGGAGCTCGAGGAATCTCTCCCACAATGGATTTTAAAACGCATGCAGATCGATAAATATGAAGAGTTTCCAAACAGAAAATCCAAGCTACAAACCAGAGTAAGACATTGCTAAATAATGGTTAGAGACTGTTCAAAAAGTTTTATACAACAGCAAATGGTCGGACGTGCCGACTTAGGAATGGACGAAGATCGGCCTGTCAGTAATGGGCCGTGGGCGAGTTCAGTTTGAAAGTGTCGAGTCCATTCTACAGTTCAAAAATATGAGATAACTTTAACTTAAGAGTACCTTGGCTAGAAAAGAGCTTCTGATCATAGAACTCTGCGCATAAAAACATGTTAAGGCACTCATCAGCCTATAATTTTTGTATCACGCTCGATGTTTATTTACTAAATTCGATTTTGGTCATTCTTAATCATATTAACATTTCGGCCAATCAACGACGATGTTTTAAATTTTGAAAATGAAACGTCCATTGTAATGAACAAGTTGGATAAAGATGCATTGCTATATTCATTTATTCACTCACCATTCACTTAACTGAATATGATTTCATTTTTCAAGCTTTACGAGAAGATCATTGGATTTGGAAAAGCAGAAAGTAAAGGAGAGGACGACGGCGTTCCTCCAGCCATGGCGCAGATTATTGACAGGGTGATGGAGCAAGACGCAAAGTAAAAAAAATTCATTTCGAAAATATGCAAATCAAACATCTGACAAGCTTATTCCCGCTTTCTCCAAGCTATTTTTAATTACCGATAGGCGAATTTAGCTCTAAGAAGACCACCTTTTTACTTAATTTGAGACTTCAGAACTCGTTAAAGCTGATGAAAATGTATATGGTTGCCGTAGCACTACTATTATCTGGTTTCTGATTGAGCAACTAACTTACTCCTTCATTACATCCATTCTGAAATAACTTTGGCTCCTTGCAATCTGATTGGCACTCAGCAATGCAATTTGCATATGTAATCATATGATTTCGGGTGCAATTTGGGAGTAACACGGGTAAGTTTTTCAAAGGCCAACCATACTGTAGTATTTGAAAATTCATGTGTCGATTTGTCCCAAATTGTACGAGAAAAATGAAGTGATTACTTGTTTATAATAAACAAGAAAAAATGTGACTTCGTTTTCCTCGTTTCGTCTTACGGCTCACTGGTTCGGCCGCTTGCCTTTGGTTTGTTGCCGGAGAAGTTGAGCTTTTCCCTCAAGAGCTTCCTTCTAGATTTTAAACTCTTCATTACGAATAATCGAGTGTTTAAACACTTTCTATGCTTGGTATCGGTGAAAAAGCTGTAACGTTCACACGGAGGCTATAACGCTCGCAGTCTTCCACGTCTTTCTTATGAACTGTTGCGTAAAACCCCTCAAGAATTTTAATCTGACCCTCCGCTTCGTCCGTTCCAATACTTTTGTCATAGCCCAACATTTCCAAACTTTTAGTCACTCGCTTATGTTTTGTTGGGTGTTTCTTGTTCTTAGCATTCTCCCTAAAACTCTGAAAGGTTGTTACTTTCTCCTCTTCTTTCTGCCATTTTATTTTGTTATGCATTCGCAACTTCCTGTCGAACAATTTAATTTTAACTTTCTGTAATCAATTTTAATCTTTACTGTTTGGGATTAATTGACGTGTTCTTAGCCAATGAGCATACTGAAGTTGTGCATGCACATTATTAAACTCACGAATCGCGCATTTTTTTGCATATTTTCCCAACTACTAAGAAAGCAACAATAAAACAAAACAAGCAATCAGATTAATTTCAAGGCCTGTTGGAGTAACCAATCAAATTACAGGAAAATACAAACGCAAATACAAATGCAAGAAGCGGTTATAAATCAAATTTTGCAGCATATGTCCCCAAACCATTTTTAAATTTCGTGATTAAACTTTTGATAAATTTTGCATTTTGTGATTTCAATGTAGTTGTAAAAGAGTGGTAATTGAGCTGATTGGGATTCACTTTGGTCTAAAAGAACGATATACTTCGGATTTAGATCAAACTTATTCTATTTTTATAATCACTCGTATGATTTCACACCAAATTGCACTCCACTTAGTTCAACTATTATTATTTATCAGTTGCCACTCCTCGGCTAAAGGACCCTTTTGCTTCGTTATATTCCAAAAATTCCATTTCAGTTCATTAAAATAACGCTATCTGCAATAATCCATTTTACATTTCAATGATACCTTCTTCTTCATTTGTAAAACATAGGATAGACGAAATATACGCCATGATGAAGGAACAATCCGAGATCCTCAAAGCCATCGGTCGCCGTCAAGGAGTGGAAGATACTGCATCAAACAGAAAGAGTATTATTGGATGGTTCTTGAAGAAACATTAGATTTGGTGAAAAACATGACAGCTATCTCCGTGCTCTTTTTTCTAGACTGATAAGGCTTTTAAACTTTTAACTTAAAAGTTAACGGTTGAACATTAAAAACATAACTTCAAAAAAAATTGCAGATAATATTTGATGGAAGACACGAAGAATCTTTAATTTACTTTCTCTCGTCTAGTGCTGTAAATTGATGTAATGCAGTTGAATATGTTCATTGCAGGTTTAAACAAAGATAAAAGAACTAAGTAATGTTTTCGTCTTTCTCAAAATTGTTTTAAATGGTAATGGTGAAAAATGTAAACATTGGCATCAACGTAGGAGCTCACTCATACTTGAATGTTTGAAAAGGTAGTCAGCTTTAACTATAAAAGTACACTGTTTTATCAACATTTTTCCTTAACTTACGCTGAAATAATTTTGAAAAGTAATGAGAAGTTCAAGCTGATTTGTTACTAAGTGTAGAAGTTTGTAACATTACATTGCTGCTGGAATCGTTAAATATATCACTGTCATAAAGACAAACGTTTATTCTGCGTATCTGTATCACGTTATCAAACACGATGATGTTAGAGAAAAGGGGCGTTTATTACATTTTCAATAATAAATGGCGTACACATATGGAACTTTGCTACGAGTATTTTACGACTGCAAAGGTTTGTCAAAATGACATGTTACGCAGTTACTTATTAATTGTTCAAATATTTTGTCATCAGCCATGAAAGAAGAGAAGAGGCGATAGGTTTCTGTATCTTGTTGATCTCCCTTCTCTGAAGCAGACATTCATTCACTCATTTTCCAAGAAGTAGGCCATTCATCTGCTCTATAGAGTCGCAAGGATGGTTGGATAGGGGTGCTTTTCTCTTTGCCACACTGTGTAATGGCGTGCGTTTTTCGAATTATTAATGCCCGTGGGAAGTTTGGGGAGCACTCAGAGTGATTTCCATCGCGCCTTTGATACAAAATCCAACAGTAGATACTTAATAGGAATATCTTCGTCGTTGTCACTGTGTCTGTCACTGTCTCTGCTACTGTTTCTGTCACTGTCGCTGTCTCTTTCACTCTTAATGTCACTGTTACTCTGAACGCCAATTTCACTGTCACTGACAGTTTCAGTGCCAGCGTCAGTGTCGCCGTCACTTCTTTGTCCTTGCTACTGCTATTTTATCGTAACTGTCTTTGGTACTCTCACTTTCACTCTAATTCACCCTGTCACTGTCCCTGGCTTCGTCACTTCCTTGTTACTTTGTTTGTCACTGTCTTTGTGACTGTCTTCGTCAATGTCTCCGTCTTTGTCTTTGTCAATGTCACTTTTACTGTTATTGTCTCTTTCCATGCAATTGACAGTGTCACTTCATTGTTCCTTTGAGTCACTCACTTTCACTGTCTTTGCCTCTGTTACCGTCAACGTCTCTATTGTTGTCACTGTCTTTGTCACTGTCCGCCTCACTTTCATTTATTGAGATCCCACTGTCATCGCTATTGTTTTTGTCATTGTCACTGTAGGTCACTGTCACTTTCTCTCTATCTTTCACTGTCACCGTCTCTGTCACCTTCACTGTTACTGTTCCTAACACTTTCGCTGTCTGTCACTATCTGCCCCACTGCTATTTTTTTTTAATCGCTATTGTAGTCGTTATTGCTTTTGTTATTGTCATCGTTATAGTCATTCAGTAAATTGTCTGAACACAGTGAGTGAATATAGTGTTGGTAGGTCCTGTTGTCGAAAACTGAAGTCAGTCACTTATTCCTCCAACAATCCCTCTAAGGAGTACCCTCTGCCGGGTGATCACACCACAAGATCGAATATTTTTGATGAAAATTGTCGTGGTCATAAGCATCATTATCATCATCAATATTTATTATTACACCGAGTTACGATCTCTAAACCGGATTTATCTCTTTGGGTTTAAAGCCGCATGTGGTAACCCACAGGTCTAACCATCTGTTAATACGTTTTCAGTGGTCTAACATTTCTCTTGCGATTCTTAGAAGAGTAGTTTTTTATGTTCCAGTGAAGGATCCACACCAACACTCCCAATATCGTGTTCCAGTCTGTTTTGGACTCTATAAGAAACAATTATTGGATGAGGTTTTTGTGATATCCAGAATAATCAAGGTCGAGATAAGGGTTATCAGCTGAAGCAGAAGGCTGAGACCGATAACCCTAGCCTCACTGAGATCTTGGTCACGACAGTAGATGCTATCTGCTATATGACTTAAACAGCAATATGATATGTGGTGTAGTATACCGACATCCCAATCTTGAAACATTTCTGAATAACTTTTACTCGGTTATTGGCAAAATCAGTCAAGAAAGGAAACTCTGCGTCATATCTGGTGACTTTCATATTAATCTTTGAACTTCCATAAACATCCCTTAACCGAAGATTTTATTAATATCATAGGTCCATTCTTTTAGAGCCCCACATACTGAAACCAACAAGGATTACCAATCATTCCTCTACACTGATTGATAATATGTTCTTTAATTCTATCGAATATCAAACAGTCAGTGGGAATTTATTTCATGATCTAACAGACCATTTGCCTAATTTTCTCATTACTGAGAGGTTTGCTTTTTTAATGCATAAAGAGAAAAGATTTAGACGAGATTATTCTAATTATAATGAAGAATCTTTTTTAAATTAATTTAGTTCCATTGACTGGTCTAATTTATTTCATGGACTATCCGATACAAATGAAATTTTTGATAAGTTTTACACAAAAGTGATCAATATCATAAATAATCATTTACTCTTAAAGCTACTCACTCGAAATGAAGCGCAATTTCAAACAAAGCCCTGGATTACTCCGGGAGTAAAGGCATCCATTATTAATAAAAATGGGTTGCACAGGCACTACCAGAAAATTCGTTGATGTTAAAGCCATACCAAATTTAAGTGTTATCGAAACAAATTAAATCATCTAATTAAACTAAGTAAAACCAATTATTATAAAGAATATTTCATGATCAACAAGGCAAAAACAAAAGAAGCAAATTAATTATTAATGAACATGAGATTACAAATGATAAAGCTATTGGTGTACATTTGAATAAATTCTTCTCTAATATTGGAAAAAACTTGGCGTCAGCTGTACCTAAACCAAATCTACCATT